CTGGAGCACTCCAACCTTGTTATGTGGCCAGAGTCAGACAAGATAAGGCAGCGTTTGTTGGAGCGCCAGGAGAGTCCACCTGAGGGGACGCCCTTATTTCCAGTAAGGGTCCTCGGAAAATATGTAACATTGGAGGATGCCCGTCAACATGCGAAGGAGGCCGGAGATACCTCGGACCCTTCCAGTTCGGGCAAGAGATGCAGGAGGAGGTAAGTGTGCGGTACAGGTAATGATTTGTTTTCTAGGGTTGTACGTAGGTTCACGTCAGAGTCGGAGGAGGACAGTAGTGATGCAGAGAATGAGCCACCCTTGACTCCAAGGCCGCCAGCTAAACGCTTAGCAGGCTGGCCGCACTCGCGTCAGTAAGCTCTGTTACGTTTAATTCTTTTAGGGTGCGATCGGCCTTAAGTTCACCGACTACATCGGCTACAACGTCTCAGACCATTGAGTCACGGCTTGATTCGCTGGAGGCCCTTGTTCGACAAGAGTTCGAAATTATTTGGCAAGAACTAGACACAATGATGTAAGATCTCTTGAATTCCCTCATTCGATTTTCCTTAGTAAAAGACTAGATGACTTTAAGACGGTCTATCGACACGACTCCGAGTGGCTGCGGTAAGACCACTGAACTTCCCCTCTTACAGTTTCACTTAGTAAAACATTTGATGTAATGGCTGATAACCACACTGTGCTGCTCAGGAAGGTGGAACAGCTCCAGAACTGCTTGCTTCAGTCAGAGGACACGGTAAGTGTCATCTCGTATGTTTTGTCCTTAATGCCTAACAATCAGTATGGGTCCATATGCCTGACGCTCACACTCAGCTGTACAGGCCTACTAGGTGAGCGGCGTCAGTACGAACATTCAGACACGTTACTACTGCGAGAGCGATGGCCCCAGATCACAGCTAAACATAATCGATTCGACCGACGTCCACCACGGGTGCGAACGCACGCATGCGTGCACGCCCCCTCACAGCCGCAGGCGTCGTTCGTATCGATTATGTCTGGCATTGCGCTTGTTTGAGTCATGGCCCAAGACCATAACCAGACATAACGGACGTCCGCAGTGCGAGGAGGCGTGCGTGCGTTCGCATGCGTGGCGGACGTCGGT